TTTATAATATAGCGATGTCAAAAGCCCGAAGGATAAGAAAAATTTCCGTGTTTAGAAGCGGCGGAAATTTTCCCGTGTTGACATTGAGTTATATCAACGCGGCTCTTAGCCAATCAACGTTCAGAATTTACAAATGCTATATTATAATATAATATGTAATTTGCAACGTAACATGTAGTTTTTGCACCTGCTGCTTGTAGTTTACTAGTTTTTAGCTCCACATGCAATGCTTTTAAGGACCAGCATACATGAACATATAGTTTACCAAAGAGGCATTTTATTTACGTTTGATTGTATTTATTCTGAAGTTTAATAAAAATTCAAAAAACTTTGTAGTGGTGATACCCAGACCGTACCTGTACGCAGTACTGGGTAACTACTTCATCTGGCACAGATATGTTGGATCCGTGCACAACTATTCCTTAAACAATGTTTCACGCTATTCAACTCAAGGATCCAAAATATCCATGCAAGATGAAGTACTTGCACTGCACGCAAACCGCTTGAATACAGCAGTCAGTGTTTCCAAATTAGTAGAATATCAAATCCAACCCTTTGAACAAAACTAAATCCCCAAAGTTTCATAGAACAGAACAAGAATGTTAAAGTTAGTGCGTCGTCATGGAAAACCCATTAGAATTGTCTGTTTCTCCTACCCACGGAGTGGTACGCCTGTGAGATTGTTCCTCATAGTTTTCCCATTTTGTGAGAGAGTTTTCATTTTTTAACGCCGGGATAATAAATCAACTTTATTACCTTCATTTGCCTTCGCCACTTCTCGCCAACTTCAATCTTTGTTACCTTCATTAACTGTACTAACACCTCCAGCTTGACGTCTTCTCACTTTACGAGGCGTTGTTCGAACTTGCTGCAATTTCTCCTCTGCTTCTTTTACCAACTCGTTCAACTCAGACTAAAGAAATGACGGAAGAATATTAGTAGGAAAATTGTTGAAATGTTTTATTAGTACAAGCTGTACTACGTACTCTGGAAAATGCTTACGTCGATGCCAATGTACGATAAATATCAGATTTTTTTTACCCATGCACTGTATATTGACATCACTTTAGTATTTATACATGAACTTGTGGTTAGAGCTCGACAACTAATAAATGTATAAAAATTCCACTCTACAAATCCCTTCTAAGTCAGATATTGCCTGGCATGTGTCACAGTCTAGGTGTGACACAGGAATTATCACCAAATGCATACAAGACTACAACATAGGGTGAGAAAAATTAACATTGTTTTCTCATTCTTGTAACATCAAGTTGACAACCATCTGTTGCACAATAGTACTTCGGCTCACTCAAACTATAATCGAGTTGTTTCCTTTCATTCAGAGGGTTTACAAAACTCCATGCAATTCGAAATAAAGCTTCATCGATCCCAATGACATACTTACCAGCGAGATATGCGATGTAACAGTTAATTCATTGACCTTTTTCCGCTTCAATTTTTCCAGGCCATGATGTAAACATAGTGGAGTGTCTGTTTGATACATAATCTTGAAAAAAATTTACGTAACAATTATATGGCTATCCCTCCAAGAAAGGTGCATGTCGTGGCCACGTCTGCTGGAAAACTTACCGCTGATGGAAAACAGAATCGACCACACTCATTACAGTTTTCTATTTCGCCTGAATCAATGCGACGACCACGAGATTTCTTCTCTGAAATGTAAAATAACCAGTTAACTATTTATCAATGGAATCCTCAATCTAAAGCCCCAGTCAAACGAGCATGAAAGTTGATGAGAGTTGCAACTCTACAATTTTGGAAAAACGTCAAAATAAACTGACCTGGAGAATTCTCGTTCTCCGAATTTTCAACAATTCCCGAAGTCGCCAGTTCATCTTTCAGCCTTGTCTCAACGTCCCTGGAATGATACAGTAAATAAGCCAATTACATGAACAATCCTACATATCATGGGTCAGTTTGCTTCTTTTCAAAACTTACCTCAACTCTTTAAGTTCAGGAATTAAAATGTTCAGCGTATCTTCCCTACTGTTCCTGCGTAGCTAGTAGACAAAGAAAGATTACGACACATCAATATATACACGGTAAACAAACGACTTTAGCAGTTGAGATTCTTAAACTTTCATGTGTGCAATTACCTCTTCTTTTACGGAGGAAACAATCAAACTTTCCCAACTGAACAAATGATTCACTTCAGACTTTAAATCGCCCTGTTAAAAACAACACAAGAAACATACGAGGGACGGTCAACTCGGCAATCTAATCGTATAAATCTTGAACAACATTTTATGCTTGCCTGGAATGTAGCCTTGATCTGTGAATGATAAGACAATGAAGCGAACGAGACGAACTCTGAGACAGCGAAGCCAGTGGATAACGATGAATGATACGCCTTCGAAAAATAAAATCAATACATCAATTTCAAACAACACACACTCTCGCAGAATTTGCTTCAGTGCCCACGAAACAACGGCACGTTATCAACGTCGAGTTCAAACTATCCCTGTGGACTCTATTGTAGCAGCAAAAATGTTTTCAGCAAATGAGAATACAGGAGCCTCGTTTTCGTGATTGAGACGTTGGGCTTTCACTGACGTCACACACACGAAAACGAGGCTCTATAACCAAAGTGACATACTTTCCGGAAGCGTGTATTAAGTGCTACACTTACGCCTGGAAACTTGACAATGAACTGTCCTGCTTCCTGAACCACTTTATAAACAGAGACTCCAGACTTGGCGAGCGAAGAATGATGAATCTAGGTAAAAAATAAAATTAAGAGATGTGGTTTAATCTTCTTGGCTCTTGCTTTCTGTAAGTGACAAAATTTGACCACCTGCATCTTACCATGCGCTCTTTCATATGACCGATTTCTCCATTTAGTTCTGCTTTGACAACCTCCAAAAATCTGTCCTTGCTGCAACTCGGAACGGAATACCATATTTTACTCTCCCCTTGATGTAAATACTCCAGAGTGTAGAAGTGATGTGGCGGTGTGTGCCACGTCTCTGCCGACAGTACCATCTGTACATTCACCGTGGGTGATGTAATGCCTAAAAATAACCATATTGTTAAATATTCTCGAACAAACAAATTTATAGCAAAAATACCTCCAACTTGGGTTCAGTTGTACAAGGTGTGATGGTACTACTATATATCAATATACGTTTCTATAATATATGTTTGTACACTATTGTATTAATACCTTCCACATCAGGTAAATCTCTGGCTAAAGATCTCGGAGCTTTTGGCAAAACATTCAAATTCCATTTGGATCTAAAACGAGGTTAATTTAATTTATTCTATTTTAGGTTGTAATGTTTATGAGTACGAGTTGGACAATGAGTTCAATATTGAGCTCGATTTTGAAGAACATCAAAGCACACGCTTTTTAAATCGGATTAAAGAGAAGCCAAGTGCCACATCTTCCTTACTTGTAGAAAGGCTTCATTTTGCTTGTTGGAAATGCCGTGCCATCCAACTCTGCTGCATGTACGACCACATAGCGTTGACCTTCATCTATCATTTGCCAGAAAACTTCCTAAACAAACAAATGAAAACTCTCAGCTGATTCAAGCACTGACTATGAGGTGGTCAAACCAGAAAAAATTGGGAAACAATTACAAAATATATTCCTGGATTTCTAGGGAAATAGTTTAACTTCCTGGGATTTTTTCTCCAATATTTACGTTTCCTGGTTTGTCCTAAGGAAGAGCAGATATCTCACCTCTACATTTTCATCGTTTGCATGTCTCATATAGTACTCATTGATGTTTTTTGCATTACGCTGGAAGCTAGCCAGTGACATTGAACGACCCTGAAAGAATCAGACATAGTACTACAGTGCGGTGGCCCTGGAGTATGCGCAAAACAAGTGCACCACAAGCACGAAGACATAATGTTTTTAATAAATATATAACAAAGCTTCCGAAGTCCGAACATACGCAGTGAATACAAAGCGATGGCAAACTTCGTTTAAGCATCGCAATCCAGGTTTATAACCCCGTTCAGGGTGCGATAAATTGCGTACCGGAGGTCCACCAACATTATGGTCTGGCTATTTGCACTGACCTTTGTGATGTATTTTTGACTTGATTTTTTCTTGCTTTCTCCCAGAGCATCACTACGAAGTTTTGTCTTTTCCTCCTAAAACACGACAGAAAATAATCAGATGCGAAGTTCAAATCCATTGTTCTGTTCTTCAGCCGCGGTTTTCTCGCAGTTGACTTGCGGTTAATTATTTAGTTTGCGCTTCGCTCCAGGGTTAGACATGTAAAAATCTCACAAACTTGACAACAAGATGTGTTCGCAACAGACGTGTAGCAAGATTGTGCTTGTCAACAAGTTGTAACAATGTTGTTATTTTATCAAGTTGCTACAAGGTTGTCACTCACAAGTTGTTGGAACAACTTATAACAAGTCTGTTGAGTTCAACAACCATGTAGCAAGTTGTCAACAAGCTGCTAACAATTGTCAACAAGCCGTTGACAACTTGTCAATAAGCTGGAAACAAGCAGTGCGAACACATCCTGTTGAAGAAATCCATGTTACAGGTCTGCTGCAGATTTGTTACAACTTGTAATTTACGTTCAGTTCACAAAGGGATATACCTCACCTGAGATAACATGTCATACGACAACAAATACTTGCAGTAAATATGTTCCAATTTCGTTACTCTGTCCACTGCCTAAACATACAGGTACACGCGTTATCAATACGTGTCACTCGCTGTCATGTCATGCAGTATCTTTTTTAAAATTTGAAAGCAATCAATGTCACTCAACTGTCTTTGGTATCCGTAATCTATCAGCCACTTTTACCCATTTTCGCTTGTCTATAATCTACAATATACAGCAAGAGAATGCAGTGAACATATAATCGACCTTTAAAACAGCAGTCTTAAGCCAATTTCAATGAAGATAATTAAAAACAAACCTGTTGCAATCCTCCAAATTCTTCCACAACTTTGGACATAAACGGAAGATCCACTTCACAACCTGAAATCTAAAAGCAGACTTCATTAATCCTCATAACGTAACTGCCTTAAAAAGGATATTCGTTGCACAAGACAGGATGAATAGAACTATTATTATAAGATAGATGCGTACCTGTGGCATTGCTGAGAGAAGTATATCTTGTTGTTCAAGATGTTCTATAATCGCCGCCAATTCATATTCAACCGTGGGATAGCTAGAAGTTTGGAAACAATTGTTACTGGTTCTAATAGTTACTTCCATTTTGGTTATAGGTCTGTCAAAGCAACAGTTTGTTTAGGATTTGTGAATAATTGTAACAAATATTCTGGCTATAGGACATATAATTCTTACTTCTTGCCAAGGCAATGAATACGTTGTAACTTGGTTGTAAAACGAATTTCATCAGATAAACAATATTCGGGCTACAAAGATATAGATTACAAATATTATTGAACATTAGTTTACTGCAGAGCAAAGCGAATTAATTTATTCTTGGTTTAATTGGTGTTTTAGAACAAAATCATTTCCAACATTCCAAAGCAAAATTCTTCAAACACAAGTTTACCTGCCATGTTTTAGGTGGGACAACGACGCAGATACCAAATGGTTCGGCCTTGGCTTTAATGGACTCAATATATTCGAAGGGTTTTTTATTAAACTCCTCTTTTGTTGGTGTGAATACTGGTACACTGTTCAAATTTTGACCATTGATGTTGGTACCAACCGCACTACCTGGCAAAGAACCAGGTTCATCTGTACTGTTCTTAGATGGCTTTGAATTCTCTTTCTTTACCTCAGATTTAAGGGATTTCATTGGGCTTGTATTTTTGCTGGCCTTGTTAGGGCTAGTCTTTGGACTCATTTCTTGCTTCTTGCTTGGGCTCTTGCTTAGACTCTTGCCTGGACTCTGGCCCTGACAACTCTCCTGCCTTTTGTTTGGACTGCGCTTTGGGCTTTTTGAGACCTTAGTATTGGTTTCACCAACTTTTTGTGGAGATGAGTTTACTGTGTCTTTGGAAGACCACATTGATTGACTTACTGGAAGGAACCCTTGTTTTTCAGGAGACATGTGTGTTTCCATGACAACTGCAGATACTCTGGGATGGCTTGGCACAAGGGAAGGGGTAGCTGGGTTAGTACTTAGTACTGCACCATAGACATCAAACCCTGGTTGTTTAGCAGGTGTAGGTGCGGTGGGGTAAGGGATAGGACTTGGAATATGGGTGAGGACACTATGACTATTGGTGAACTCTGGCAGAACGGGATAAGGCTGAACTCTTGTTGAGACGGGGGATGACACTAACGAATTAGAGCTACTTGACGAGTGGCCTTCAGCTAACTGCATAATAAGGCTTCGTTTGGCTTCTGGTTCGTTATCATTCTTCTCGTTTGCTGGCGTCATTTTAGATGGCGTCGTTTTGTTACTCTCTTCATCGTCAGTCAATGGCGACATAGGTGCACAAGGGTTGTTAAACATCTCTAGTGGCTTTGGCATACGGGTCGACCCTACAGCAAAATAGCTCGTCAAAAATAAATTGAAGGATAACAATATTCAGCAATGTCTGGCACTAATGATGTTTGACACAAAAATATTGGGCACTAATGATCCTCAGCACTAACAATGCTCAGCACTAACAATGCTCAGCACTAACAATGCTCATCACAAACAATGCTCATCACAAACAATGCTCAGCACTAACAATGCTCAGCACTAACAATGCTCATCACAAACAATGCTCATCACAAACAATGCTCATCACAAACAATGCTCATCACAAACAATGCTCATCACAAACAATGCTCAGCACAAACAATGCTCACCACAAACAATGCTCATCACAAACAATGCTCATCACAAACAATGCTTAACACTAACGATGCTCAGCACTAACAATGTTCAGCACTAACAATGCTCACCACAAACAATGCTCATCACAAACATTGTTTAACATTAACGATGCTCAGCACTAACAATGCTCATCACAAATAATGCTCATCACAAACAATGCTTAACACTAACGATGCTCAGCACTAACAATGCTCATCACAAACAATGCTTAACAACTCACAATGCTAAGCATTTATGATGTTGGCACTACCCATACTTGACACTTATGATGTTTGAGACAAACGATGTTGGGCATTAATGGTGTTGGGCACTTACGATGCTCAGCACTAACAATGCTTAACACTAACGATGCTAAGCATTAATGATGTTGGCAGTAACAATATTTGACACTAACAATGTTTGACACTAACGATGTTTGACACTAACAATGTTTAACATTAACAATTCTTAGCATTAACATAGACTTTTGAAAAGCTCTATAACAATATCTAGATATATAATTTATGAATGACGTCACCTCTGAGACAAAGAAAGTCAAGGAAGTCTTCAGTTTTTGCTCGAGTTGTCATTGGCTGTAGTTGGCTTTGGTACAACAATAAACTGAAATACATAAAAGATTTACAATTCATCATTTTATTAAAATGACTTCATGAGCAGAAGAGATAAACAAGATCAAACCTTCTTGGACTTGCGGGACTCGTCTGAGCAAATTTCCGTTGCACATGAACTTTGGCTAAACTACAAGACATAAATCATGTGACCACTAAATGTCAAAATGGTAATTTAGAGGAGAAAGGTTTTGTTCAACATATCGAGGACGTAAATCTCAGCAACCAGAAGCAGTGGAAAATGCAACATTTGGCACACTGCCAGGAAATGAATCTGTGGGCCAATTGCCTACTTTACATGATTTCAAACAGTATAGAGTCATGATACCACACTTCTTCAGGAAATAAAGTTGATTGTTATTATTATTATTATTATTGCCTTCATTAAGCTATGACAGGCATGTGAACTGACCGACCTCCCATTACTCAAAACAAGACGTGATGAACTATGTGACCAATTCTTTGCGAAGAATGAAAGTAACAGTAAAGTTTACGAACATCTGATCTGTAAAACTTCGTTAGATTATGACACGAGGTCAAAATGTAAATATAAAAACTTTTCATGTAAAACAGACAGATTTAAAAACTCGTTTTTACCATGAACTATCTCTAAAGAAAATAGTAAATAGATCTATTGTATTTTAAAATTTTTACTATAAACATCAAGTAGTTAATTCTTATTGTAAATATAATGTAGTTTTATATTGTAAAGACCGATGCAATTTAACCCACGGTTACAATGTCGGTTTATCTTAATAAAATATCAAAATATCAAACTAACATCTTGAATCCATACACAATGGAATTAAACTAAAGTCATATTGGCAGGATGTTATATCGAGTCATACCTTTCAGGTGTTTTGATATTCCCATCATCTTGCACTGCATCAACATTTTTCTTTCTTCTTCTCCTTCTCTTAATTTTTCCTTCATTCTCGTTAACTGTCATCTTTTTCTTCCCATTTAAAGCCTTAGACTTTACAACTTTCTTATCAACAACATCCTTCGATGGGCCAGAAATATTTCTGATTTTCTTCTTGCCCGGTTTAATCCGAACCAAAAGTTTCTTTTGTCGTTTCCGATCACTCGTTGCTACAATTTCATCCGACTTCCTCTTACTTCTCCGAATAGTTTCGTTTGTTTGTGCAGGTTCAGCATTTGATTTTGCACGTCGCTTCTGGGGAGTACTCAAGCTCTTGTCAACAGATGAGCCACCTTTGTCGGACTGTTTGACTTTAGTCTGTTTTGGTTCCTCATCGTCCGCTGCTTTTGATGCAAGTGAGGCGTGCAAAGCTCGTCTTAAGGCGATTTCTTCTTCATGTAGCATCCCATTGTTGTATTCCTATACAGAGAGAATTATATATTCTGATATTTCTGGACTAAATAGATACATGACAATGGTTTTCAGGAAGAGATGATCATCTACATAAAAAAATGTTGACACTTACTGGAGTTAAACTATTTCTCTTAATTCTAGTTATTCACCAGTAAATACAAGGTTATCATGTATATAGAAGTGAATTAACATTATTTTCTTACTCTGGTATTGACTATTGACCAGCATCCGTGCACAATGGTACTTTATACTCAAACTACTCCCATACTTGTACTTACCAAACAACGCGTTGCTCTCCTTCGCTTGGGCCGTTGCATGATCATAAATACATCAAAGTGAAGTGTTTCAATGCCAAAAATAAACCAAATCTTTCCTCATTTCAAAAGAAGCAAAAATTCTCAAAATTTAATATTTAGTATGCAGAGCACGTTGTTTTTGTTTTGTTTATTATGCTCAACTTACATGACGTTCTCACGAATTACCGCGTACCACATCTATTCTAAGAACGCGGGCACATATATTTCTGAATTAATTTAAAAATAATTATGAGTAAGTTACTAAGTTCTCAAGAATATTTACGAGTATTTAGTACAAATTAGTACTTTTGGCTCAATGATTACTGTAACTGTGTAATTTCAGAATATAAAGTATTCCCAGACTTTAGGATGTGATCATACTCGATTTCTAGAAAATTTTATGCAAGTTCCAAAATTCTAGGAATATTCTCATGCAATGTTGCGGCACCTCTCACGAAGAAGCAGCAAGGTAGACATTGAACTGAACTAGCGTTTGCAAAATCATAAGTTCTAATTGAAACAATTGTGCTCAAAAACATTTTTGTGTTTCAGGAGCTTCAGTTTATTGATTGGCGACGTGTGTTGGTTAAAGCTGGCAATGGTGGTGACGGCTGTGCACATCTGCTAAGAACTGCGTATGTCAACTTAGGTTGTTAACTGTGCACCCGCTTATCCAAAATATCACAGGTTTTCTCCAGGTAGTCTGGTTTCCTTCTGGCCGGAGTAACTGGACCAATAAGAGATGACTATTGTTGGACTTAAACTGTTTAGTACTGATAGAGCTATCCAGTAAATAAGTTGGTCTATACAAACTTATTAATCAATTGTGTATTTATTTTGAAAAGGGGGAACAGAAAGGCAGGTCCAGATGGTGGAAATGGTGGTATTGGTGGTAATGTCATTCTTGAGGCAGATGTTTCTGTAAAACAACTACGACACGTCAGGAAATATTTGAAAGCAGAAGATGGTGGGGGTGGGCAGACTAAATCCTGTCATGGAAGACATGGAAAAGATCTTGTTGTAAAGGTGATAGAAGAAGACCACACCCTTTGCCAACTCCTGACAAGCACTTGTCATCAGGATCCATTGAATGGATGTGACATTAATTATGACCACACCCACTTTGCTACAATGCACCATACCTTATTTATATCTGTGAGAGTCCTGTACATTAATGGGGTTAACCAAACCATCTGCCAATGTGTCCTGTTAACCCTTTAAGGGGCAATGTGCCCTGATGCACCCTATTATATTATTTTACTGTTTAACTCATCAAGGGGAGAGTGCTTCCACTCATTGGGTTAACCCATTAGGCTGCAATGCACCCAGATGTGCCCTTCAATTTAACTCGAAATCTCTGTATTCAAATTCTGGTAGTTAACCCAAGGGATTCCTAGGTTCCTCTAGGCACAGCAGTGAAGTGCAATGGCTCACTCATTGGTGACTTACGGACACATCAAGAAAAATTTGTCTTGACCACAGGAGGAGCAGGGGGTTATGGAAACAATCATTTTAAATCTGCTTTAAACCGTCGGCCATTGGAGTGCACTAAAGGAGAGCCTGGGGAAGAGAAGTCCGTCGAATTGGAGTTGAAGACTATTGCTCATTTTGGACTGGTGTGTGAAGAAATGATTTTGTAAAACAATTGTCCAAAAACTTTGCTTTTTTACTATTTACAACACGAGTGGCTGTGTTACTATATATCAGATACACTTGTGAAACGTCTTGATGAGAACATTCATATTCTTCAAGAATTTAAAATATTAAATGAATGATATTTGATGAGAAAATTGAACTTAAAGTTCATGTAAATCAGCATGATTTTGTTCCAGATATACAAACTCCTTCATGGTCATTTCTTTTTGTTTTCTTCATGAATTATTAATAAGTTTCACAAATTATAATTACTAGAGATGTTATCCGTCTTTCCACTTCAATCGTACTGTGATGTAGGCTTTTGCAAAGTCCTTTTCAATTTTCAAAGATCCATATATTAATCTGTCCAGCCCCTCAATATTTGCTTGTTTTGCAACACCATAAAGGCGATGTTACATGGGATGATACAACTTGCAATGAAAATGAGGTTACACAAAATTTGATTGGTTCTGTAACGATTTGCATTGCGAGTTGTCGTTAAAAGTTGTCCCCGGTAACATCGCGTTAAAGTCCATCTGAAATATGTTAGAGCCATCAGCCATGCTGTAAACGGGGATTAATCCAACACCTGTAGGGTAGATGATGTATAAAACAGAAATTCGCTACCAACTCCAGAAGAAGAGTTTTCTCTCAAAATGTCTTGATCCTTTTTCTTTAGTTGCAACCAATTCCACACAAGTTTAAAACTGAAAATGTCCATGTTCTAGGTTGGTTTTCCCAATGCAGGCAAGTCGACCTTACTCAGAGCGATATCCAATGCAAAACCCGCGGTGGCAGCCTATCCTTTTACAACTCGTAATCCTTACGTTGGTATGGTAGAATATCAAGACTATCTTCAGGTCGCAGGTAACTTGAAACGTCTTATCACCTGATATTTCAGAGGGTCTCAGTGGGGTTAATAGACTACTGATATTTGCCCGTAATTTTGACTGAAAACCGAGAAACGATTAAACAGCGATCTGAAAACCATATCTGGCTTTAGGTACAGATTTCCTATAGGGAGAACAGTTCATACCTGTAGATTTTATGCGATCATCGCTTGGTCGGTGCAACCATTGAATTGAAGCTTATACATGATTTTTGGAGTTGTTAGCCTATACTTTTAGAAAGATTGGTTCCACTGGCTTCACATGATTTTCGTAGTTTGCCTGTAACTCCCAAATTCTTAATTCATCTAAGTTTTAAAGTTTTGAATTTGGAGTTACATTCTTACACTATGGAAGTAGCGTCATTCCATGGCTCCCTAAATTGATAGAGCTATCAAGTACTCATAGAGCTATCAAGTACTCATAGAGCTATCAAGAACTCATGGAGCTATCAAGTACTCATAGAGCTATCAAGAACTCATAGGAACTATCAAGAACTCATAGAACTATCAAGAACTCATAGAGCTATCAAGTTTAAATAAAGTTTAATATTCCATCCCCATTTTCTTTCAGTTGCAGACATTCCTGGCCTTATCGAGGGCGCTCATATGAACAAAGGATTAGGTCATTCATTCTTGCGTCATATTGAAAGATGTCGTTGCCTGTTGTACGTTATAGATATCTCCTTGGACAGTCCCGTCTCACATCTTAACATGTTAAAGACAGAACTAGATTTATACAAGCCCGGCTTGTCTTCGCTTCCTGCTGCCATAGTAGCGAATAAAATCGACATTTTGGAAGATTTGTCAAAGCGGGATTACATCGGAACGCAATTTAGAGACATACCTTTACCGCTTATAGCAGTGTCAGGAAAATTAGGAACTAATATCGCAGATTTAAAAATATTTATTAGAACGTTATATGAACAAAATGTCAACTAAAACTAACTGCATACTTGATGTTGGTTTAGTCCATATGAAAATTGAGATCAAACTTAATAAAGACATTGAAAATGTTCATAGGTGGTTGACAGCTAACAAGCTCTCATTAAATATGAAAAAGAGTGAATTTATGATAATAGGATCAAGACGTCGCTTAGCT